GGGGGGCACCTCTCGGCCTCACGGAGGCGCCGGGGCGCTGCCCCTGCCGCGCGGTTAAGATGGTTTCCTTCCGGCCGCGGGGCGCTGCTGTCGTGGGGCCTGCTGCCCGCTTTCCTTTTGCTAATTGAGCCCCGTGCAGTAGGCAGCCTGTCGGAAATAAAACGACTGCAGGCAAGTTGGGTATAGTTCGATATTTTACCCTTTTTGAAATTTAGTGTGAGCAGGAATGTTTCGAGGAGGCTGAGCCTAGAGTTTGTTTGGGTGGATCTGACAGCAGGTCTCCGGGGCAGCGCCACCCGCGTGCGACCGCAGGTGGCAACTGGGCGAGGAACGTGAGGGACGCGCTGCGGGAGCCGCTGCAGGGGAGGAGCTTCCGCCTGGGACTGTTACCCGGCGGGGCGCCGGGGAGGCCCTACGCCGTGGGAACGCGGAGGGGAACGGCCACCGGAGGGAAAGGCACTTGCGAGCTCCCGGCCCTGGCTCGCCCCCGCAGCCGCGCCCGTCCTGCCCGCGCCGCAGGCGCTGGCGCGCGGTCCCGAAGCGTCCTGTCAGTTTACATCAGTTTATCCAGACAGCTAGCAACTCATTAAAACTGGCATCTGTCAGCGGTCCTAGAGGCCATTGACATGGATGGAGAGGTTAAATTCTAACTTAAAGTCAGTCTTTTGGATCATGGCATGACTACAAAACAAAGCAAGAAACCTTTAAGTTCCACATACGTGGATTGCAGTCTCCTGCCACTCCCCGCTCTGTACCCTCACAGAGCCACCACCTTTGTAATGTTTTCTTCAGTAAAACGGTCTAGTTAGATTATTTCTAAGGTCTTCATTTCTAAAGTATGTTCATGCCCTAAATTTGCATTAATCAGTGCTCCACTGGATATGCCTCTTTTAAAACCATCAAACGTAGCTCATTTTTTCCCTTACAGACTGCTTTTGTTGTTGATGAAGTGAGCAACATTGTGAAAGAGGTAAGAGGAGAAATGCCTACTTTTAAGATATTTGAGTCATGGCTTATACGAGTGAAAATTATGTGTTTTAAATACTGTCTTGAAATTATTTCAACCGAGCCTGTTTTGGCATTTCAAAGAACAGTTTTTTCTTCAGAGAACAGCTAGATAAGAACTACTCCCATATTATGTAAACTATATATTTTAAATCAGGAAATTTTACATATTAGCATTGTTATTGAATGTTACAAAGGCTTGATTCTATAACCTTTTAGCATAAAAGACTCATGGTAAACAAGTAAATGTTTTCAATGTTCAGTGAAAGAGTGGATATGAAAAGTTGAACAACTTCGAGTTACGCAAGATCTGATGATTCAATTGGCACTTGTTTTTCTTACATCCCTAAACTACCCACTTTATCATTATTGACCATGGTGTTTCCCTTAGATAATGAGACTAGGAGACAAAAATAAAACAGATATTTGTTCATTTATTTTAAGAAACATAAGTCAAGGGGGCATGCAGGGGACTGATCTTCAAGGAGTTTACTGTAGTGGGGCAGGAAAGGCAGACATTTGTCAACCACACTGGAAAAGGTAACCTTGGATTCTCCGTGTGGTCACTGCCACAGTAGGTGGTGCCACGAGGTTGTTCAGAGCTGGACCCTGGAGTGAGTAGTAGTAGTCCCAGGCAGGGGACAGCATGCGCTATTCTCCAGGTACTAATAGCAACAGTGAACAGTCAAAATGTTTCAAAATGTTGATAGACCCTATGTAATTATGAATTCTTAAAAACAAATATAAACTTATTTAAATATGATACTGTTAAACAAAAGGTATACTTGCAAAGGAGTCCTCATGGATACAAGTGAGCTGCTATTGTATGCAAATTGTATTTCAGCAGTCTTAGGACTATGTACTTCAGTACTAACTGGAAGGTGTTCATGCCCTCTGCGGACAGCAATTCCTCTGTGCTTTGTCTTCTAGGCTATAGAAAGTGCCATCGGTGGCAACGCCTATCAGCACAGCAAAGTCAATCAGTGGACCACAAATGTCGTAGAACAAACTTTAAGCCAACTCACCAAGCTGGGAAAACCATTTAAATACATTGGTAATAGATTTTTGCTTCTCACATGTATTGGTGCTGATTCTTAAAGTACTGAGCAGAAGCGGGTCTGGTGCCAGAAGACAGTGATTGTGTCAGTGTGGTGCCCCACCTCAAAGTTCCCAGTAGAAGTGTCACTTGTGCACATTGTTTTGTTTTAGGTTATAACTGGCATCAGCTGCCTGTTTGGCTGCTGGAACAAGGGCAGGGCATGCCACAGGATTTCAGATCAGATGCTTTTAGACCTAGTGTGTAGTGAGGAAAGGGATGGGGGTGGTTTGTCAGTATCATAGGACCAGGCAATTTTCCCTTATATTTATTGTGAGCATCAACCACGTGACCAGCATACATATGGGAAAAGTGGGCATAAAGAAATTTGTGTTGCGTTCCTCTAATAAAAGTTGTTTCCATTGAAGTGACCTGTGTAATTATGCAGAAGAATGGAGCAGGGCTGCACACGGCGAGTTCTTGCTTTTGGGACAGCTCTACTGACGGTACGGTTCTCACTCACTGGGTCCCAGCATGTTGTGGGCATTGTCCTCAGGTTGCGCAGTGTCTTCTTGGACTGCGCTGAGATCTAGGTTATCCAAATTAGTGTTCTATGAACTGTGTGCTTGGGTGTTTCCTGTCTTTGAAAGCATGTTTATTAGTCACCTTCTAAAACATTTTTCTAGAAAAGGCTTGTCTACCCTCTTTATGTACGTACCACAAAGAAGTAAATACCTGAGTGTTTTGGCCTCACTGTGAGAATCAGTATGAGGTGGCCCATGTTCCTGACCCAGCGCCATCTGCCCACAGGGAGCTGCACCGTGCGCTGGGAGAACAAGACCATGTACTGCATCGTCAGCGCCTTTGGACTATCCATCTGACCTCGTCCGCCCAGGCTCCCTCCTCCTATCTCCACACTTCTTTTCCATCTTCTAACCACCAGCTGTGAATTCAGTGAACACCTTTCCCATTCTGTTTTCTGTGGCACTCTCAAAATGTAGAGAAAAACCAAATGACTGCACTGTGCTGTGATCAGCGCCCCCTCGGCCAGAGGAACTGTTCACTCGGACAGTCGGAAGCCTGGGCTGCCACTGTCTTCACTCTGAACATCTCTCTTCAAAGGTGCTAAACACTCAGATCTGCTGGTGTGAACCTTTCTCTACTCTCTGAAATTTCAAACACACTAATTTTCCATACTTTATACTTTTGTTAGAATAAATTATTCCAATTTAAAGTTCGTGTTTTTCTTTAGTCTAAATAGTATCACAAATGAATTCATATTTAGTTAGTGCTACAGCATCTATAAAACTGTAAAAAAAAAAAAAAACCCCCAAAAAAACAACAGGAAAAAAACCATGAAAGCTGCATCTTGGCTTTGTTCCTTTCCACCACAAGAATTTGCTAACGTCAGCCATGGGACCAAGCACCCTGACAGCTTCACTGTGTTCTGGTGAGATTTCTTCTACCCCTGGGCAGCACACCCTTCATCCTAAAGTTTCCCTCTCAGGGCCCAGGGGGGAAGCAGGCCGGCTGACTTCTGTTCCGGTAGCTGGAGCGCTCTGATGCACACACTTGGCCCAAATCTGCAACACTACAACTTGTATGCTGTGTTCTACTTTTCAGTAGCAATCACACACACAGAAATTTTTAGTACTTTAGGGCTTGCAAATGCCTTCACAATCTCTCGTTTTGTGTCTACACCACCATTATTTACAGAAACTGTGTGGAGGTTATCTGATTGCCTTAAAGTCACATCCAAGTAAGTGAGGAGGTGGGTCTCAAACCCTGGTCTTACGACCTCATCTTCACGCTCACCTGCGGCCCACGATATCATGGTAATGAAGGGACTTCCATGTCCACCTGCCAAAATGAAAAAATCCCTGCTCGCCTCGCAAAAGCACTCATGTCTAAATGGTCAAATTAACTACATGCAAAGAGCAAACAAATCAATATACGTAAAAAAGAATCACATACTAAAAGTTATTAACATTTACTGGAAAAGTATCAGAATGAAGCCACTCCCGAAGTTTGCCATAAACAAACATTTATTCACTTTTAATTATTACAGTGCTCACTGTGATTGGGTTTACTATGCTCACGGACACAGCTCTATCCCTTTGAGCTTAAACTTCAGTTTGTTTTACTTTACAGCGATTTACAGTCTCCTGTAAAGGCAGTTCTCAGTAGCAGAAAGTCCTGCCTCATAGTACGGTGCAATAGTTACCAGTGTACCTGAAACGTGCAGTCAAGGTAAATGACAACAGGATGTCACAGACTAAAGCAATGTCCCTTTGGCCCCTCTAAGGCAACTAGTTTCTAAAACCCTCAAAATACATACTTTAGTGTTTTAAGTCGTCTTCACAAGACATCCTTTAATCATCCCTTCTACCAGAGTCTGCGCTTCCCTATGAAAAGGATTCCAGGAAGTAACCACGTGGCCGATGTGACAGAACTACACCTTTAGTAAATGCTTCACAAAATACTTGAGGCTGGTGACATGTGTCTTATAATCTGCCCATTTAGCAGGCTGGGTGTACATAATGTATCTGAACGTACTGCAATCTAATTCTGTACAGGAACGATCTTGAATATAGTTTATATATCCCCTTCTCTAGCTTTTCAAATGGGGCTGGAGAGAGAGAACCGCACCATGTCACTGCAGTAATGATTTAATAATAAATTAAGCAGAACTGTTACCCCCACGGATAGTGAAGCTCTCCCCAAGGAAACCAAAATGCCTATGGTCATCTGCCAGGTTGCCCTTGACTAGACCAGTATAAAAACTATCCCAAAGATGATGTTATTCAAGCCATTACCATGGAAGAACTAAAGTTAGCCCTTTGAATTTATAATTTATGTTCGCAAAACTTTGATGCTCTCCAAGAAAAAAAAAATTTCTTGCTACTGTCTAAAGTTTCTGGCAGACTTGTGTTTTAACCTAACACCTAGGGCACATATAGTACATGCTAACATACTTTAAGCAAATTTTACATGGAGTATGTAATATGTTGATATATATGATACACCAGGAAGAGAAATTGAAAATGCATGATTTAGTGACCATTTCCCCCTTAAATACTTTTAGTAATTTTTTTGTTTCCAACTTAGTTACACAAAGTAAATAAATATGCCCATGTCGTTCATTTCCTTGACTTGGCCATGACAAATCAATATATGAATATACCAGTCATCAGTTTATAATTACACTACAGGACAAAGACAAGTTTTTAACAGTTCTAAGTTGTACGACTGAATGTCTCCAACATTTACACTTACTAATAACAGCATTCCAAATTTTGGATGATTATTTGATAATGATTAAAATGTAAACTATATCACATACTAGAAGACAATCAGCACAAGTTTTCATCAATTTACATAAAATTATAGTTAGTCTTAATAAAGCTTGTAAAGTTTGGTAATAAAACTTTTCAACACGTCTGAGCACACAGGATCAAAAAATGCGATCACACCATTGCAAATATAAAAAACCATGTAAACTTGAATTACCCTTGCAGTAATACAGTTGTTTTTACTCAAACATTCATATTTACAGGATTTTAAAAACATATAAATGGAATCCATATTAAAGGTATGTTATCACTGATGCTTAAATTAAAAAGAAGGTATGAAGTCATGATAAGCAGTCCCTATGCAGTCCCACACATGTGACATGTCTTACAATCTGCCCATTTAGCAGGCCCCCACACATGGAGTGGAGCTGTTCAGCTGTGGATGGTGATGAGAGTTAACGCACAGAAGGAAACGCAGGAACTGTTTGCAGTGTGGAACAATCACATCCTAACCTCTGCATTTTCCAAGACAGCACCATCAGGATGTCTGCCACAGCCATGTTAACAGTTCAAGAGAGACATTATAGAGCACGTCAGAGCAGAGGCAAAGGTGTCTCTACTAGAGAGCTGAGTCTGACAGCAGCCGTGGCAGGCCCCGGGCCTTCTGCGGTGCCACACTTGGCAGCTCCAGACACCTCTTTCTCACAGAGCGACTGACCTGCTTACCTGATCACCAAGTGAGACATTCCTAACAAGTTACCTTCTACCCAAAGATGCTCTTCCATAAACCATCCAAAATGCTTTACTTTCTTTCATCTAGTTTCCAAATAAGAAACTGAAAAACTTTTCGGGAGTAAAGAATCTGTAACATATCAATCATTTGTTAGCTTATTTAAAAAAAAAAATAAAGCTCTACTGAGTGTCATCAGTAGCAGAGCTACAGAAACTACTGCTTATTGGAATTTAATGATACCCTCTTCCCCACCCAACCACAGGGACATCCATTCATATGCATCACACACACACACATGCACACACGTGTACATGCACCCTTGGAAAACCGTATGACAGCCAGACCTTTCCCACTGGAGCCACAACTTGTCAGTTATCTCACCCTTTCCTCAGAAACCTTATCAAACCCTCCTCAGAATTCTATGGCACAGTTCTGCTTTGTGGGTGAAGGACTAGAACTTGCCCACCCACATTTCCCTCACAAGCCATTAATTCCGCATTTCCATCAATAGGAGCTGCCGGTCACCTAAAATGCTTGGTCACCCAGAGCACAGGCTGCTCAATGGGAGGGACTGCCTCAAGAGGCAGCCTTGAAATCAGGCATCCCTGGGAATTAAAGGGTCAAAAAACCGGTACGGTGGGGCAGAGGAGGAAAGGAATGTTACCTGGCAGTGGACCTTCTCCGTAAGGGCTTCCCACTGAGCTCGGCATTAGTAATTATTTTTTAAATAAGTACATAATTCTCTCTACTAAGAACAGGAGTAAGTTCCTCCCTACCACTGAAGATAAGCTATCTCATCCGAAATCTCTGAAAAAGAATTTGGCTGTGTGTCAGTGCCTCTCTTCCCAAATAAATGCAGCCAGTCTAACAATAAATGTGGCCCAATGTTAAAATTTGTCCTCAGTTTTGGTTCTCCTTTCAAAACTATGTAAACAGATAAGGACCCAGAAATCTCTGTTTATAAGACAAGTCTGAACACAGGCAGGCATGGGGAGGGCAGGTACGAAGAGGGCAGGGCGGCCACTGCAGGACGGGCTCCGATATCCCGCTGGCGCACCCGGAGCTCAGTCGCTCTCAGACTCCTCCTTGTACTGGGCCCGAATGGCCTGGCCGTTCTGCAGGGGCATTTCTTCATAGTCACTCCTGTTATAAAAGAGACCTTTGACACTAGTCCACCTTTCACGGCTCCTCCTATTCTCCCCCACACTGACAAGAACTCATCTTGCGGCTTCACTCTCCATTTCACTCTCCATTTCTATCGCCGACTGAAGGTGCCCACTCCTCACCCCCACCAGGGCCCACCATCCAGAAAGCACTGCCTTCCTGCAGTCCACTGGCTGGGGGTGTTCAGTAAAAGAAACACCATTCTATCTCAGCCTGAATGACATGGAAAACAGCCACAAAATCACATGACACTGCCAGCTAAAGGAAATGCTGTAATACCTAGAAAATCATTTCAGACTGATTGACCACCTGCTCAGCACACACACAAAGCCAGGCTGAATGCTCCCCCACGACAGCCTTCAGGAGACAGGACTTACCCATAGATGACGTCATCGTCGGAGTCATTGAGCATGGAGAAGGCAGGGTTGTCTTTCAGCTGGGACTCTGAAAACCGACAAGAGCGTTTCGATGGTATTAGCCTGGAGAGGAGTGGGAAAGAGCTGGATTCAAACCCCAGCTTCCACCACTATTATCTGGGACCGGAACAAACCCTTCTGTGTCCTAAGCCTGTTTCTCACCTGCCCACCAGGGCAGCATCTCTGCTTGGTACCTGGGAGCCCACAAATGGAGGAGCTACCTCCCTCCCAGTCCTTCCCTTAAGTGCGCAAAGGAACAGGAAAGCAGCCAGAGAGACCTGGGTCCGCCTGCCCCCTCTGCCCCTGGACCCACAGCAGGCCACTTTGTCTCACTTCTTCAGCCCTAAACAGGAGAAGCTGCACCTTTATCAGAGTTGCTGTGAAGCTCAAACTTTTCATGAAGGTGCTTTGAGAACTCACAGGATATAAGTCGGGGTGATCCTGACACACTAGACCCCTGCCTAGGTTCCAGAAAGTTCTCTTCCTGTTCCTTCCCTGTGCGACAGGACTGCTTTGCTGCTCTGGGTTTTGCTTTCTGTTGAGGACTGCACACTGGGACTTTCCTCGGAGTGGCCATGGCTCCCCAACAGATTAGTTCCTGTGGCTGATGGACACAATGCTTGTGCTGAGACCTCACACACACTTTCCTCACCTCGTGCTGTAATGACACACCTGCTGTGTTCTCACTGAAACCCAGGGCTCACCACTTAAAGTGACCTCGTCTCTCTCTCAGGCACCTGGAATCATGGCCCAGCACTAATAGGAAACCCGGAAGGTGGGTCCTGACTTCCAGATGTCTGACCCCAGGCGGCTTACCATACAGGGCGGTCTTCGATGGAGAATACACGAAGGCCAGCGTGTAGAGGTAAAAGTTCAGCAAGCCATAGAAAGATAAGAATTCAGCTGGTGGCATCGTCAAGGGAAGCAAGCAGTCCCGGACACTCCCCGTTAGGACGGCAGTTGGCATCTGGAGTCTGGGTCTGCCTGCTGCTTCTAACCACCAGCACCCTTTCTACTGCTGACACCAAGTCCCTCGGGGCCCCTAACCCAGCCAAACCTTGGACACCACAGGATAAGCCCACAGCCAGAGGTAACAACCACCTTTCAAAATTACCCCAAGTAACAGGTTAACCATGCTCTCTGCTACCCATGGGAACCTTGGAGGCGGCAGGGCCTGACGTGACCCAGCAAAGGGCAGGAAGGCCACATCCATGTGTGTGAATCAAGAACGAAATGGACCCCTGCCTGGTGTTGCTCAGTGGTTAGAGCATTGGCTCGAAGGCCAAAGGCTCCCAGGTGCAATTCTGGACAAGAGCACGTACCTCAGTTGCAGGCTTGATCCCAGCCCCAGGAGGGGTATGTGTGGGGGCAACCAGGTGACGTACCTCTCTCACATCAGTC